CATATGAATTTATTTATTTTATTTAATTTATTTATTTACTTCAGACAGAGTCTCACTCTATCACCAGGCTGGAATGCAGTGTTGTGATCTTGGCTCACTGCAACCTCCATCTCCTGGGCTCAAGGGATTCTCCTGCCTCAGTCTTCCAAGTAGCTGGGACTACAGGCACCCGCCACCACGCCTGGCTAACTTTTGTATTTTTAGTAGAGACGGGGTTTTACCATGTTGGCCAGGCTGGTCTCAAACTCCTGACCTCAAGTAATCTACCTTCCTCGGCCTCCCAAAATGCTGGGATTACAGGCGTGAGCCACCGCACCCGGCAATTCCATATGAATTTTAACATCAGTTTTTCCACTTCTGCCAAAAAATTAAAAGGTTGTTGGGATTTTGATAGGGATTATGCTGGTAAATACTTTGGGGGTTGTTTTGCTGTCTTAAATCTCCCTTAAATTTGTCTAGCAGAACAGACAGAGCAAACGCACAGAAAGGCAGCAGTGGCAGGCAGCACACTAAGAGAAATGCAGTGTAACTCATCTCAAATAACTTTTATATACTTATACATGTAAAAACAGTTATTTCCTCTCCTAATTTCACCAATTTTAGCAGTCTAGAAAATGTGAATATACAACAGTAAATAAAAGTTAACATGACCAAAGAACTGAGGAGACGATTCTTTCCTTGTTCAACCTGCCATCTCCCCAACCCCTGTCAAGATAAACGAGCAGGAGGTGAACAGGTTATGGCTTTACAATTTAAAATCAAACCACAGACCTGGGATAAGGGCCCTTCAATTCATCCTCTGAACTGTGTAAAACATTAACTCTGTGGGAGATGCCAGAAGCTTTTAAAAAGGAAATATTCCAGGAGGGTAAGGACGTTATAATCACAGTATCTTCAACCTTTGCCTTTTTCCCCTGAACCCCTAAATTACCGACTCCTATGAACTAGGAAAACAGCACATCTATTTGGAGTAACTATTTTTTCATGTACTTCTGCATCCATTTTCTCTTTCAGATAAACCCTGTAAAGTTAACCAAACACAAGGACTGTCTGCACCTTTTATTTTTTATTTATTTTTTTTGAGACAGAGTCTCGCTCTGTCACCCAGGCTGGAGTGCAGTGGCCGGATCTCAGCTCACTGCAAGCTCCGCCTCCCGGGTTTTCGCCATTCTCCTGCCTCAGCCTCCCGAGTAGCTGGGACTACAGGAGCCCGCCACCTCGCCCGGCTATTTTTTTTGTATTTTTTAGTAGAGACGGGGTTTCACTGTGTTAGCCAGGATGGTCTCAATCTCCTAACCTCGTGATCCGCCCGTCTCAGCCTCCCAAAGTGCTGGGATTACAGGCTTGAGCCACCGCGCTCGGCCGACTGTCTGCACCTTTTAATATCTGACATCATCTTTCATCTCCCCGGTTGTTTTGACAGTGCAGTGGGTTTCCGCCTCAAATGCTGACAGGGAATGCACAATACTATTCCTACTGAAATAACATCCATCTAGTAACACTGTTTCTCAACACTGTCCCTCAACTTAGTCACACTGGGTGACTTCTGACTAACAGCATGAACCCTAGGGCTTCTGCTAGAGTTAACAGTCACAATAGGGTCCAGGACAAGGCAGCTCCCATTGATCACCTTGGGCCCCAAGAAGGAGCTGCCCCAGTTATGGATGGCTTTGTTCCTTGAAAGGAAGAATTTATGTATAATTCAAAATCCCATGCACCACCCTGACCCAGGTCTTGGCATCTCTACTATACTTAGCCTACAATGTTCAGCTGGTGCTGGTTAAATGCAGTGCTTCACAATCTTGAGAACATCAGAATCATCTGTGAAACTTTCAAAAGACACAGGTTCAAAGATTTATTCAGTAGACCTAAGAGTAGTGTCCCTGAATTTCCAATTAAAAAAAAAATTCCACAGGTGACTCAGTTGAGAATCTCAGGTTTAAGAAAACTCTCTTCTCTAAACCACACTTCAACTAATTTATTTTACGTAAATAAATAATAGAGCCAGATTTGGGGTTGGGGGAGGGAGGTAGAAGAGACTTTCTTCACTAGGCCTCTAAGAGATTTAAATCCTAAATAGGAAACAGGCACTTCATTTTCAGTCTGACTGGAAAAAAGTAATTTCTACCATTACAACTATCCTTCATATCATCCCAGCCACATCCATCTTTATTAGTTGTTTAAAAATTTTTTCTGTATTTTATGATATTTTGAAATCTTAAAAATCTTGCTGGCAGGGAGACTGCCTCTCCCAGGGCTAATTCCTCAAGGTAGTAAACAACTTACTTGGGAGCATGCCTCTCACAGGCAACTCAACCACCCCTTTTATCTAACTCACACACACCAAGCCAGTATTTCTCCTGCCCTAAATCATCCATGGCCAGGTACCAAGCAACTAGAGACCACCCAAAGGCAAAGCCTAATGGAATTATTTAAATTATCCAATCCTAAAATGTTTACTCCGCCCTGACTTGCTATTCCTGAGGAACCCCATAAACGCTTTGGCCTAGACTTTCTCCTTGTTCCTACCTTTTCCTCCTAACCAAAAGCTGATGCCTCCCTTGTGGCTCTGAATGTGGTGGCATGCCTCCTTTTCTTGAGAAATGTAACTAACAAATGGTTTCAGGCCAGGCATGGTGGCTGACGCCAGTAATCCCAGCCCTCTGGGAGGTCCAGGCAGGAAGATCGCCTGAGGTCAGGAGTTCGAGACCAGCCTGCCCAACATGGTGAAACCCCATCTCTACTAAAAATACAAAAAATTACGCCAGGTGCGGTGGCTCACGCCTGTAATCCCAGCACTCTGGGAGGCCAAGGCGGGCAAATCACGAGGTCAGGAGATCAAGACCGTCCTGGCTAACACAGTGAAACCCCGTCTCTACTAAAAATACAAAAAATTAGCCGGGCATGGTGGCGGGCACCTGTATTCCCAGGTATTCCGGAGGCTGCGGCAGGAGAATGGTGTGAACCCAGGAGGCGGAGCTTGCAGTGAGCTGAGACCGCACCACTGCACTCTAGTCTGGGAGACAGAGCTAGACTTTGTCTCAAAAAAAAAAAAAAAAAAAAATTAGCCCGGTACGGTTGTGGACGCCTCTAATCCCAGCTATATGGGAGGCTGAAGTAGGAGAATCGTTTCCGGGAGGTGGAGGTTGCACACACCACTGCGATCCAGCCTGGGCAACAAGAGCCCACCTCCATCGAGAAGCAAGGGAAGCAAGGGAAGGAAGGGGAGGAAGGAGGAAGGGAGGAAGGAAGGAAGGAATTATTTCAACAGCACTGGCCTCTCCACGTTGTCACTCAGTCTCCTCTATAAAGTCCCAAGACACCCTGCCCGACCCATGCCTCTGGGCTGCTTATCATTCTTATTCTGTCTACTTTATCCAACTGGAAGCCATATTACAAACAAACTTAGATTTGCAAGCCAGAGAGCAAGTAAACACCTCCTACATCCTTCATCAAGGAAAACCTCTTGGAAGGTTTTGAAGCTCAACATTCAGAATTAAATGTAGTCTTACCCAGTAATTCCACTCCTAGAACACAAAAACTAGTGCTAAGAACACCAATGTTCATAGTAGCATCATTTCTAACAGCTAAAAAGTAAAACATCCATATGCCCATCACCTGATAAATGGATAAACAAAACATGGTCTATCCATACACGTGATTATGTAGCCATGAAAAGGCATGAAGTACTGATTCATGCTACATGAATGAACCTTAAAAACATGCTTAATAAAAGCCCAGTAGAGAAGGCCAAGTATCACATCATTCCATTTACATAAAACGTACTGAATAGGCAAAACCACAGAGACAGAAAGCCGATTAGTGACTGTCAGGAGATGGGGTCGAGGGAATTGGGGAGTGACTACTAATAGGTATGGCAGGTTCCATTTGGGGTTTTACAACATTCTGGAATTAGCGATGATGGCTGCAAATCCTGTGAATGTACTGAAAACCACCGAAAGTATACTTCAAGTGTGAATTTTATGATATTTGTATCTTTTAAAAAACATATTGTTTGCCCTGCAAACTGATTCCTTTACACTTCTCCTGTGTTCATTATTTCAGTGACTGGAAGCACACTACTCAGATGCTAAGGCCAGAAACCGGCAAATCGTTAACAATTGGGTCATGACTATGCTCGATATTTCTCCATGCTTTTCGCTCCACTTCCTAATTTGGGCCACCCCCACTTTTCATCTAGATTATGTAATAGCCTCCTAATGGGTGTCCTGGCCTCATCTGTTCTCACTGTAATGAAGCCTTTAAAAACACAATCTTACGCCGGGCGTGGCGGCTCACACCTGTAATCTCAGCGCTTTGGGAAGCCCAGGCGGGAGGATCTCTTGAGGCCAGGGTTCGAGACCAGCCTGGGCAACATAGTGAGACCTCCCGTCTCTACTTTAAAAAAAAAAAAAAAAAAAAAAGCCAGGAGCGGTGGCTCACACCTGTAATCCCAACACTTTGGGAGGCCAAGGCGGGCGGATCACCTGAGGTCAGGAGTTGGAGATAAGCCTGGGCAACACGGTGAAAGCCAGTCTCTACTAAAAACACCGCCTATAATCCCAGCTACTTGGGAAGGTAAGGCACAAGAATCGCTCGAATCCGGGAGACAGAAGTTGCAGTGAGCCGAGATAGCACCACTGCACCCCAGCCTGGGCAACAAGAGCAAAACTCCGTCTCAAAAAACAAACAAACAACAACAAAAAACCTTCAATGGCTCCCGACGACCCCAAGTTGAAGCTCAAAGCCTTAATACGATGTGTAAAGTCCCTCAAATGCCAAGCCGTGGCAAACCTCTGCCACCTTTCCCTCAGGCGCTAGCTGGCTTCACCCTAGCCCTGCTCGGGCATCCCCTCCAGGCCGCTGCAGCCCGGTATAATCCCCTCTTCACGTAGCTAACCCTCCCCGACCTCCAGGCCTCGACTCTCACGCCACCCCACCTGAGAGGAAGATTCCCGGGCCCCCAGGCCAGATTTGGTGCCTCTCCCGGTTCCCCTCACCCTGTCCACTCTCCGCTCCACAGGCAGGTATGCCCAGAGGGGGCCGCCATTGTATCCGAGAACATTTCCTGAGCGAGCTGGGGAAGAACCAGACTTTATCTCAGTGCTGCCACAGTGCCCTAAACTTGCCCTAACTCTTCATCAAAACTAATAGACTCCATCTGCAGCAAGCGCCGCTTCCGCCTCGCCCCGCCTCCTTCCGACCGGAAGCGCTGGCCGCCGCGCGCCGCGCCCGGAGCCGCAGAGGAAGACGGGAAGTGAGGCTGCCGCACCTCCGCGCGCGCCCGCTCTGCGCCTGCGCGCAGGCAATTCTCCGCGGGGGCGCGGGCGGCGCATGCGCAGGCGCGTGAGTCTCCGTTAAGAAGGTGCCGCGGCGGCGCCGGAGGTAGGAGGAGCCGGGCTGTGGGGTTGGGAGTCTGCACCCGGGAGGTGGAGGTCCTGTCACCTCGAGCCGTTCTCGCTCTCCTTAGGGAGAAGAGCCTTTCTCTCCCGTCTCCCTCGCTGACTCCGTGGCCTCTGCAGGCCCGCAGCCCCGACGGAGAGGCAGGAACCGCGCTCGGGTGGAGAGGGGCCGGGGCCCGCCTGGAGGGAGGAGGGTGGCTGATCTGTATCCTCACGGCGGTCTCGGTCCGGGCCAGTCTGGGGATCGGGGTTCTCCGTCTGACTTTAGAGCCGTTAGAGTCTTTGGCAGGCCTTTTCCCAGGCAGGGAATCCCTCAGCCCCTTTCCGTAGGTCGCCGGGTTGGGGGAAGCGGGAGGGTCCGCCCCTCACCGATCCATTCATTCATCCCGCTCCTGCTGTGAGCCGTGCGCTGCGGTAGGTACGAAGCGAGGAGGCACAAGTCCCCTTCCCTCTGGAAACCTGTAGGCTTGCAGGATCCGTTATGTCATTTAGTAAATATTGATTGGGCACCTACAGGAGGAGATAGACTGTTGTGAGGTTCTTATCTACAGAGATGCAGAGATCAACACAGTTGTGGAGAGTGGCATTTGTTCCAGCCGCTCCCCACATCCAACAGGATAAAATTCTCTTTGCCTAGCCTGACCTTCCAGGCCCTTGTGAGCCGATCCCTGCCTCTCCCCGCAGCCTTTTCTCCTACACCTTTCTGTCTACTCCCATTATACCAAACTCTTTGCAATTCATGAATTCAACAAGTAGTTGTCGAGCACTTACTTCAAGTCAGGCACCGGATCAGCCAAAGAGGATGCAAAGTAAAATAGATGGATCTCTACCCTCCTGAAGTGTTGAGCTTAATGGGGGACAGATAATAAGCCGATTAATAAAAATACAAAAGCGCATAATTTGGAACGACGCTTCCTGGGTTTGATTCTAGCCCTGCCACTTTGAAAGCTGTTCCTGAACTAGCTTTGAGCCAGTTCCTTATTCTGCTTGCGCGTTTCCTTGCTGTAAAGAGAGGATGACAGGAGATTCCACCATATAGGTTTCTTGTAAGGATTAAATGAGTTTGACTTGAAAAATAATTGGAACAGTGCTTGGCACACAGTAAGCATTCAATAGATATTATCTGTTCATATGATTATAACCTATGACAGATGCCACTGTGAAAACAGTGGACGATGATAGGGATGCGGATGGAGAGGGTCCATAAAGGATTAGAGGACACTTCTCTGAGGGGAAGACACAGAAGAGAATGAGCCAGCCATAGAAAGTAGATTCTAGGTAGGGGTATTTTCAGCTCTGGAAAACAAAATGATTAATCAGATTCCTTGGACAGTGGAGATTGCATTATTGTATTTGAAACGAATAACTTTCTGCCATTGGGTCATTCAGTTTTGATTTTTGAACCACAGTAACCGTGCGCCAAAGTAAATAGCCATGCCCACAAGGCCCAACCTTTGTATAGAGGCGATATTCTAGTCATCCAGGTTTGGAGAGCCTTGCTGGGTTGAGAAGATAAGGAAAAGTGACCTTTTGTCTCCTGAGTGTTCATGAGAATATAGTTTCTCTTCCTGTCTCTTATGTTGCAGTATTTACAGAAAGAGGCTCTTTAACAGCCAGGGGTCTTAAATCGGTGTAGGAGATAGTTTTCCTAGATTTGGGGATCATCCTGTTTCTATGGTGACTGCCTTTCATGGGGTTTGCTCCCTAAATTTCAGTTAAGAAAACACTCTCCCAAGATGCACACATGTTAATACCTGTGGAAGAACATGCTTTGACAGGTTTCTGGATTCTTCTGTCGTGATGTCTGATAGGACGGTTAGACCATGTTAACCAGGCTGGACTGAGAATTTGACAGTATTGTTACTCTGAAGACTTTTCCCTCACCCCACATGCCCTTGTCCCTCCCTGGAAGAACTGGCATAAAATGACAATGTCCGATTACACTTACATGCTTTTGGTTTTCCACAGATGTGAAATTAAGTGAACCATATATGTTTCATCATCGTGGAGATCTTGGAGAATTATCTGAGCACCAGGTTCATATGTATTCAATCTAGAGGCATCTATTGGACAACAAAACACTCTTTTTCAATTGTGGACTTTATTTATTTATTATTATTATTTTTTGAGACAGAGTTTTGCTCTCATTGCCCAGGTTGGAGCGCAGTGGTACGATCTCGACTCATTGCAATCTCCGTCTCCCAGGTTCAAGGGATTCTCTTGCCTCTGCCTCCCGAGTAGCTGGGATTACAGGCGTCTGCCAGCACACCTGGCCAATTTTTTGTATTTTCAGTTGAAACGAGGTTTCACCATATTGGCCAGGCTGGTCTCGAACTTCTGACCTCAGATGATCCACCCCCATTGTCCTCAAAAAGTGCTGGGATTACAAGCGTGAGCCACTGCACCCGGCCCAGTTGTGGACTTTAACAGAGGGAAGCTTTAAACATGTTTAACCACAGGCTCAATTTGAACAAAGATACTTCAGTCATTATAGAGAGGAAAACAGTACTTTTTGTTCAATTGTGCAAACTCTCCAAGTATCTAATTGAGAAGTAGAGAGGAACCCTAATGAAACTGTGAGTGTGAATGAGGCTCAGCTAGGTTTCTACTTGGGTTCACTTTCTCATCTGTCTGCATGTCCCGGGATTGACCCTCGCTCCTCTGAAGACCAGCCTGAAAGCCTTAAAACTCGTCAGTGATGGATGAGTCTGATGAGGACTTTAAAGAACTCTGCGCTAGCTTTTTCCAGAGGGTGAAAAAACATGGAATTAAGGAAGTGTCAGGAGAAAGGAAGACACAAAACGCCTCCTCAAACGGCACTCAGATAAGACGCAAATTGAAAAGGACCAAACAAACTGCTACCAAGACCAAAACCCTTCAAGGCCCTGCAGAGGAGAAACCTCCATCTGGCAGCCAGGCCCCTAGGACTAAAAAGCAAGGGGTAACCAAATGGCAAGCAAGTGAACCGGCCCTCTCTGTGAATGGGGAGGCGGGTGTGCTCGCCTCTGCTCCAGATCAGCCTATGCTCTGGGAAACAGCACAAAACACCCAGATGGGTAACCGGCAAGAACCATCCCCAAACCCTTCCAGAGAGGAAACCAGAGGTAATTTGTACTGTTTTAAACCGGGGGCTGGAAAACTTTATGGAAAGAGCCAGATTGTAAATATTTTGGCTTTGTAGGCCATACAGACTCTGTCACAACTCTGCTGTCATAGTGAGAAAACAGGCATGGACAATATGTAAATGAACAGGCATGGCCATATGCCAGTAAAACTTTATTTACAAAAATAGGCAGCCAGCCACATGACTGTAGTTTGCTAACTCTTGGTTTAGTTTTTATTTTTTATTTTTTTTTTAATTTTTAAGCTTAAAAAAAAATTCAGAGCTGGAGGTCTCACTATGTTGCCCAGGCTGGTCTTGAACTCCTGGGCTCAAGCAATCCTCATGCCTCAGCCTCTCAAAGTGCTGGGATTACAGGCGTGAGCCACTGCGCCCGGTTGACTCCTGGTTTAAACAACAGTCAAGAAAAATATAACCCCTGTGTGAATTGCTCACATGGTTATGTTTGGAGTCCTCTGCTCTTTCAGAATTGCCTATGAAATTCTGTTACATGGTTGACATGAGTTACACAAACAACACAATAATGTTGCTTCTCTTGTTTTCTTGAATTTATTCCAAAGTGGGTAAGTTGGACAGGGTCAACTTACAATTTGGAGAGGCTGCTGAGAGGGCCGCATGAGGGCGCTGTGTGGGCTCAAGTCCCAGGAGAATCTTCAGGTTTTTTGTTTCTCTCTCAGAAGACCTTTTAATCTTTTCCTTTGTTATTTTTACTGATTTATTTCCTTACTTAGTTTTTAGAGACAGGGTCTTGGTCTGTCACCCAGGCTGGAGTGCAGTGGCGCTGTCATAGCTCACTGCAGCCTTGACCTCCCAGGTTCAAGCAGTCCTCCCTGCCTCAGCCTCCTGAGTAGCTGGGACCACAGGCACCCACCACCGCACCTGGATAATTTTTTAACGGTTTGTTTAAAGCAGTTTTCTTGCCCTGTTGCCCTTGATATACTGAGCCATATGCTTAGTACACATTCTTCATGCAAAACTGAAAACCAGCCTTGCATATATAATACACCATGGGCTCTCTGAGCTCCTGAGTTCTGTTTCTCAATTTTCCTTGCCCTGACTTCCTGATCTTAATAACCTCTTGGCAGAGTGGTGGTAGAGTCTCAGGTCGCAGAGACTGCTGGAAGGCGTCAACAGTGTTGCCTCACCAACTTTACTGGTCTCTCGTGCTCTTTTCCAGTCAGATGAAATCTATGCGTGGTTCCCCCAAAACACGTATCCATGCGCACACCTGCAGAACTGGCATACAACTTCATGGGGTTCCTGGATCCCCATTGAAGATCCGTGGATCCCAAGTTGAAGAAGAACTGATCTAGGACATAAACCTTTGTCATTAATATTTCTTTAATAATAGCTTTATTGGGGTATAATTGACATTCCATAAAATTCACCCTTTAAAAGGGTATGGCTCAGTGGTTTTTAGTATATTCACAGAGTTGTCCAACTCCACCACTACCTAACTTGAGAACAGTTTTATCCTAAAACTAAACCCCGTGCTCATTAGCAGTCACATCCCATTCCCCTCCTGTCATTGATATTTATGTCTGTATTGCCATAAACAAAGAAGTTACCAACAAGCAACCAGTGCTCTTCACATTTGTGAGTCAAACCTAAACTAGTTGATAAAGGACGCCTGAAACTTGCGTCTAACCTG